TAGACGGAGTTTCACTCTTTCGCGCAGCTCAATTCAGTGGCGGCAATTTTGGCTCACTGCAACCTTTGCCTCCAGCTTCACCGTGTTAGCCAGGATGGTCTCGATCTCTTGACCCTGTGATCCCCCGCCTCAGCCTCCGAAAGTGCTGGCTCAGCTCACTACAACCTCTGCCTCTGGGGCTCAAACAATTCTCCTGCCTCAGCTTCTTGAGTAACTGGGATTACGGGCTCACACCACCACACCTGGCTAATTTTTGTATTTTTCGTAGAGATGGAGTTTCATTTTGTTGGCCAGGCTGGTCTCAAACTCCTGACCTTAAGTGATCCACCCTTCTCGGCCTCCCAAAGTGCTGGGATTACAGGCGTGAGCCACTGCACCTGGCCCCAGCTAATTTTTAAAAATTTTTTTGTAGTGACGGGGTCTCGCTGTGTTGCCCAGGCTGGTCTTGAACTCCTGGGCTCAGGTGATCCTCCTAAAGCGCTGGGATTACATACAGGTGGAAGACACTGCACCTGCCCAGTCATCATTGAGCCTCCTGAGTACAGGATCCTTTTCCACAAAAAGTAGAAGAAGACAACGTTATTATTTGAGCTAATGTTTAAATGTTTGAAGGCAAAAATTTATTGAGTTGAATTTTGATCAAGATTTTCTCTAATATCTTTGAAAGGCAAGCTTCCCTTATTTCCTTAATCTTCTAGAGACAGATTGCCCAATAGAACTTTCTGTAATGATTGTACTTTTATGTTTTTGTTGTTGTTGTTATTGTTTATATAGATATAGTTTTTTTTGTTTGTTTTTTTTAGATGGGGTCCCACTTTGTCACCCAGGCTGGAGTCTGGAGTGCAGTAGCGTAACCTTGGCTCACTGCAACCTCCGCCTCCAGGGCTCAAGCAATCCTCCCATCTCAGCCTTCTCAGTAGCTAGGATCATGAGCACACATCATTACACCTGGCTGATTATTTTTTGGAAAGACGGGGTTGTTTCTCATTGTGTTTTCCAGGCTGGTCTTGAACCCCTGGGCTCAAGCAGTTCTCCTACCTCTGCCATCCCAGAGTGCTGGGATTATAAGCATGAGCCACTGCACCCAGCTGGAATTGAACTTTTAATTAATTGAAACCTAAGTGTCCATGTTTGGCTAGTGGATATCATACTGGGCAGCATAGTTTTAGAGAGTAAGACCTACATATTACCCATTTTGCCTGTTCGGGTTTGTCTTTCTCCACCCAGATAGATCGAAGGATCTTTCCTTAGTCTGAAATCTAACTTAAATATTGGAACTTCTCATTTGGAGTTATAGCGCCCTTCTTACTATTGGAGGACAATCTCTAGAACATTCCTTTTTGTCTTGAGTCATTTTAGCCAGAGGAGAATCTCCTCTCAAACTTCCAACCTAGATCCCTGTGAATGGGATGTAATCAAGTAGATTTACAAAGCATCCCTCCCTTGTCCAGCCATTGCTCAGAAACTCTTGGGCTGAGATTTTTCAGTATGTCGGATAATGTAATGTACTAATTATAATCTCCCAATGATTCTATGCAGGGAACAATTTGATAGGAAAAATTTGAACTTGATTTTCTTTATTGAAGTCATTTTATTTTTCATGTTCAAGGGCTTTATTGCTATATTAAGATGGCAGACAGTGGGGACAAATTTCTAAATGCTGGTGTAGACAGAAAGCAGAGATAGTTTATAGAGAATTTTATTAATTAAAAGAAAAAAGGCATTCCTCATGTTGACACTTAAACCTGTTTCTTGATAGTATCTTTGAGTCCCACTCACATATGTCTGATCTGCAGAAGTAACTTTTTTGGTATATTACAGGTATGCCCAACCATATTCACATGGGAGCAGGACCTCCACCTCAGTTTAACCGGATGGAAGAAATGGTACAGAAGGGGAAAAGGGTAGATGGGGGAGGGAGCTGCCTGTTACACAGCTTGTTCATTCTTTAAACCAAGATAAGGGTTTTTTTTGTTTGTTTGTTTTTGTTTTTGTTTTTTTTCTTTTGAGACGGAGTCTCGCTCTGTCGCCCAGGCTGGAGTGCAGTGGCTGGATCTCAGCTCACTGCAAGCTCCTGCCTCCCGGGTTTACGCCATTCTTCTGCCTCAGCCTCCCGAGTAGCTGGGACTGCAGGCGCCCGCACCTCCGGCGCCGGGCTAGGTTTTTTGTATCTTTTTTAGGTAGAGCGGCGGTTTCACCGGTTGTGCGGATGTCTCGATCTTCCAGTGACCCTCGTGATCCGCTCCGTACTCGGCCTTTCCCCAAAGTCCTGGGATTACAGGCTTGAGCCACCGGCCCGGCCTTTTTTTTTTTTTTGGAGATTGGAGTTTACCTCGTGCCGTAGGTAGGAGTGGCAGTGATGGATCGCAGCCACTGCAAGCTCTTGCCTCCCGGGTACCGGAGTTCCAAGCAATTCTCGCTGCCTCAGCCTCCAAGTAGCTGGATTACAGGAACATAGCATCCATGGCCCAATTAATTTTTGTATTTTTAGTAGAGACGGGCTTTCCATGCTTCGACCAAGGTGGGTCTGGAACTCCTGACCTCGTGATCTTACCCGACGGCCGGCGCTAAGATAAAGCCTGCAGTTTTTCCATTGATTTCCATGGTTTAGTTTTAATCTTGGATTTCAGGGAGAAAGTAAGGTAGCAAGGTTTAGGTCTCAAATCTCTTTTTTTTTTTTTTCTTTTGGAGGACAGAGTCTTGCTCTGTTGGGCCCCAGGCGGGTGGAGTGCAGTGGCGTTGATCCTCGGGCTCACTGCAAGCTCCGCCTCTCAGGTTCTCACCGTTCCCCTGCCTCAGCCTCCTGAGTAACTGGTACTACAGGCACCCGCCACCACACCCGGCTAATTTCTTTGTATTTTTAGTAGAGACGGGGTTTCACCATGTTAGCCAGGATGGTCTTGATCTCCTGACCTCATTATCTGCCTGACTCAGCCTCCCAAAGTGCTGGGATTACAGGCGTGAGCCACCGCACCTGGCCCTAGGTTCAAATCTTGTTATCTTTCATTATTTTTCAGCTCACTTTGCAAATACCCATTAAACACCTGCCATGTACCAAGTTGTTTTTCAACACCTAAAGGAAGGTAGAACTTGACATGAGAGCCCTCTAGAATTCTTATTGTTTAGGCCTCTTTCTTTGTCTCAGGGCGTCCAGGGTGGTCGAGCCAAACGCTATTCATCCCAGCGGCAAAGACCTGTGCCAGAGCCCCCCGCCCCTCCAGTGCATATCAGTATCATGGAGGGACATTACTATGATCCACGTGAGTTTTTTCTTATTGTTGGGGTACTTTTCTTGGCAGTGTGAAGTGAAGTAAGACACTAGGCTCCTGGCTCCTGAATTTCTCTTCTGACCTCTCATAGTGGTTATCAAACATTGTCTGGTTGCTGTTTTCTTCGCATGGAATATTGAGAACATCTTTTAAAGGGCTTGGGGAACAAGGAGACTTGTCCATGTGATGTGAAGAGTAAGGGTTTATGAGAGTCCCAATGTGATATCTTACAGTGCAGTTCCAGGGACCAATCTATACCCATGGTGACAGCCCTGCCCCGCTGCCTCCACAGGGCATGCTTGTGCAGCCAGAAATGCACCTTCCCCACCCAGGTAAGTTTAGTGTCTCTGCTTGTATGCTTCCAGTACCTGAGGATATATGTTGGGAGCACCACAAACCCTATCCTCCTGAGTTCTGTGCTGCTAGCCTGGGAGTCTGGCCATCCTGGCTGCGTTGGCAACAAATTCCTCTTGTATCCATCCTGAGGACTTCCATCCTGAGCCTGATTATACTGAGCAGTCCAGCCAGGCCATCCTATGAAAATGATGTTACTTTATTTTTCAGTTTTTTTCTTCTCCTTATCCAGGTTTACATCCCCACCAGACACCAGCTCCTCTGCCCAATCCAGGCCTCTATCCCCCACCAGTGTCCATGTCTCCAGGACAGCCACCACCTCAGCAGTTGCTTGCTCCTACTTACTTTTCTGCTCCAGGCGTCATGAACTTTGGTAATCCCAGTTACCCTTATGCTCCAGGGGCACTGCCTCCCCCACCGCCGCCTCATCTGTATCCTAATACACAGGTGAGATGGCTAATGATCATGTTTTTCTAGATACATATTCTTTAATTCAGACAGGAATGTGGTATGGGGAGAATGCTAAAGGAATTTGAGAGAACATTTCAGTGCCACTGATTTGTATGTGACGCTAAGACGCCTCTTAGTGGTCAGGAGCTGGAAATGCAGCTTATGTAATGCCCATCATCTTTATTCTTTTCAGTTTTTTTCTCTGTCGCCCAGGCCTGTAGTGCAGTGGCATGATCTCAGTTTACTGCAACCTCCACCTCTTGGGTTCAAGCGATTCTCCTGCCTCAGCCTCCCGAGTAGCTGGGATTACAGCGCCTGCCACCACGCCCGGCTAATTTTTGTATTTCTAGTAGAGACGGGGTTTCACCATGTTGGCCAAGCTGGTCTCAAACTCCTGACCTCAACCGATCCACCGGCCTCAGCCTCCGAAAGTGCTGGGATTACAGGCATGAGCCACCGCACCCAGCGTTCAGTTTCTTTAATGGTGTTTCTTTCCTGTGTTGTGGTACTTCATAGGTGGCAATACCTGCTTTTCACTCTATTGCATAAAGAAGCTGTATTCTACTCCTTATCACCCCACCTCTGTCCTGCTTAACTTCCACCACATTGACATAATCAAGTATCTGTAGTGTTGCTACCGAACTCAGCCTTTTCCAGTTGTCAGCTGATGTTAAGAATTAGAGAAAGCTGGGCAGTACTTTGAAGAAATAAAAACCAGAGCAAAATAATGACGAATTAAGGCAAAAATGAATAGTCACTTTATTTTGAAGGGTGGGCAGATCAGATATTTTTAAAATTATAAATTCCCCAGTACTCTTGTGGATGAATAATATTTCCTGTTCATCATAGGTTGGATGAATTCATTCCTAACTTTTTCTTCTCCTGGCTTGTGGGGTCCAGGCCCCATCACAGGTATATGGAGGAGTGACCTACTATAACCCCGCCCAGCAGCAGGTGCAACCAAAGCCCTCCCCACCACGGAGGACTCCCCAGCCAGTCACCATCAAGCCCCCTCCACCTGAGGTATGAGAGCTCCTTCCCATACTTAATGCACATGCTCCGTCAGTGGGCTTTCCTTCTCCCCAGAGGATTTCCCTCATTTTTCTGGGTGTGTTTCTCTGGAAAACAGTCTTTTTGGTATGACCTGATAACAAATTCCAACTTTATTATTTCAGGTTGTAAGCAGGGGTTCCAGTTAATATGAGTTTCTGAATATTTTAAATCTTAACATCATATAAAAGTAAGTGCACAACTTACTGTGAATATTCTTAAAACTAATGCTTACACTTGCTTAACAAACAAAAATCACTAATTAATGCTTTTTTTTTTTTTTGAGATGGAGTCTCAGTCCGTTACCCAGGCTGGAGTGCAGTGGCACAATCTCAGCTCACTGCAACCTCCATCTCCTGAGTTCAAGCATTGCTCTTGCCTCAGCCTCCTGAGTAGCTAGGATTATAGGCATGCACGACCACACCTGACTAGTTTTTGTATTTTTAGTAGAAATGGGGTTTCACCATATTGGCCAGGCTGATCTTGAACTCCTGACCTCAGGTGATCCTCCTGCCTTGGCCTCCCAAAGTGCTGGACTTACAGGCGTGAGCCACCCCGCTGGCTTCTAATTAATGCTTTAAATTATAATAATCATGGGATATCTCAGGAGGCTTAAAGGAGTCCTGAAATTTGCCAGTTTGTTTGTGTGGCAAGTGTATATGGGGCAGGGTTGAAGTAGAAACGACTGTTACATGACAATTTTCAATTTAGAAGCTACAAGGAAAAAATACAGGAAGGCAGTAAAGGAAAAGGGAAATCTAAATTTGAGATGTTATAGCAGAAAAAACCAGTTCTAAAGATCATAGAGGAGAAAGACTGGGGGTTTTGTTGCTTTTGTTTTGTTTAAGGACATTACTTAATACACATTATTTAGAAATGTGGCTTTTTGTAAACAGCTTGTAAATGCCCAGATGGCCCACTAACACTTTGGTGGTTCTTCCCTTTTTCCAACCCCTGTCAGAACGGCAGAGGTGAGAACTCAGGAGAGAAGAGAAATACAGCTGGCTATCTACTACCAGAAGGGCTTCAAAGATATAGGTTATGGCTTCTACCAGCAAACAGCTGAAAGAGGAGGACCCCTGCCTTCCTCTAAGGACAGGCTCTGGAGAGAGGGAGAAACAAGTGGACCTCGTCCCATCTTCACTCTTCACTTGAGTTGGCTGTGTTCGGGGGAGCAGAGTCAGACAGCCCCAAGCTTCTGAGTCTAGATCCAGAAGCCCATGTCTTCTGCTGTTCTTCACTTTCTTCTGGGAAATTGAAGTGTCTTCTGTTCTCAAGGAAGCTCCTTCCTGTTTGTTTTGTTTTCTAAGATGTTCATTTTTAAAGCCTGGCTTCTTATCCTTAATATTATTTTAGTTTTTTCTCCTTGTCTCTGTTTCTTGCTCTCCCTGCCTTTAAATGAAACAAGTCCATTCTTCTGGTTTGCTAGCCCCTCTGGATTCCCTTTTGACTCTTCCCTGTATCCCAGATAATGGCGAATGTATCAGCCAGCCTTCCTCACCAAGGCTAAAAAGACCTGGCCTTTCACTTTTAGTTGGCGTTTGTTATCCTCTTGTATACTTGTATTCCCTTAACTCTAACCCTGTGGAAGCATGGCTGTCTGCACAGAGGGTCCTATTGTGCGGAAAAGCTCAGAGTAGGTGGGTAGGAGTCCTTCTCTTTGACTTAGGTTTTTAGGAGTCTGAGCATCCATCAGTACCTGTACTATGGTGGACTTCTGTTCTCTGCTGAGGGCAAATACCCTACTGTGGGGAGAGATGGCAAACCAGATGCTTTTGTGAGAAAGGGATGGTGGAGTGAGAGCCTTTGCCCTTAGGGGTGTGTATTCACATAGTCCTCAGGGCGCAGTCTTTTGAGGTAAGTGGAATTAGAGGGCCTTGCTTCTCTTCTTTCCATTCTTCTTGCTACACTCCCTTTCCAGTTGCTGTGGACCAGTGCATCTCTTTAAAGGCAAATATCATCCAGCAAGCAGTCTACCCCATCCTTTGCAATTGCTCTTCTCCACGTCTTCTCTGCTACAAGTGTTTTAGATGTTACTACCTTATTTTCCCCGAATTGTACTTTTGTCCTTGCAAACAGAAGATACTACACCTGGGCTTAAGGCCTAAGGAAGCCAGTCACCTTCTGGGCAAGGGCTCCTATCTTTCCTCGCTATCCATGGCACTAAACCACTTCTCTGCTGCCTCTGCGGAAGAGATTCCTATTACTGCAGTACTTCTGTCCGCCAGGGGTAACTTGGCCACTGTCCCTGTCCTTCTACAGAACCTGAGGGCGAAGATGGTGGCTGTGTCTCTCCCCGGTAATGTCACTGTCTGTTTTTATTCCTTCCCTCTAGCAGCTGGCCTAACCACTCGAGTCACAGGTGTGGCGTGGAGAGAGGGGAGGGGCATTTAATCTGTAACCCCCAAGGAGGAAATAACTAAGATTCTTCCAGGGGTAGCTGGTGGTTGTGCCTTTTGTAGGCTGTTCCCTTTGCCTTAAACCTGAAGATGTCTCCTCAAGCCTGTGGGCAGCATGCCCAGATTCCCAGACCTTAAGACACTGTGAGAGTTGTCTCTGTTGGTCCACTGTGTTTAGTTGCAAGGATTTTTCCATGTGTGGTGGTGTTTTTTGTTACTGTTTTAAAGGGTGCCCATTTGTGATCAGCATTGTGACTTGGAGGTAATAAAATTTAGACTGTAAACTTGGCTCTCTTGCCAATGTTTTGCATGAGTCTTGATTTGGGAGGGAGGGAAGAGGACTCCCTAATTCCCCCACAGGGTCACGGTCACAACTCAGGTCAGCCCAGACTTGTGAAACAGAAGCCCAGAGAGATGAGGAGCCCCTTTGAGGCCATAAATGTGTCTGCACTCCCCATCAGTTACCTTTTTTAACCACATAGATTACTAGGATATCATGCCATCCCTTAGATTGGAAGTGTCAGGGACAGAGAAGCAGAGAGATGCTGCTTATTCACATGAGCATCTAGTATTCTTTATGGCTTCCTTTGTGTTTGGCAAGTAAGTTTCCCAAGGTAATATGCCATCAGATGTCAGTATAACTATACCAAGTCCTGGGCTGGGGGAAGTATTGGTATAGCTTTCTTGAAAAGTAAAGATGCCGACACTCAAGTATTAAGGACCACAGTCTTAGGGAGACGATCAGGTCAGGTAAGGGGAAGGGAAATTTTTTTTTTTTTTGTATTTTTAGTAGAAATTTTTGTATTTTTTGTACAAAAAAAAATTATATTTTTAGTAGAAATGGGGTTTCACCATGTTGGCCAGGCTGGTCTTGAACTCCTGACCTCAGGTGATCCACCTGCCTTGGCCTCCCAAGGCCAAGTTGGAGTCTGTGTTCTTAATGTCCTTGCCAGTGACTCTCCACCCTACCAGATCCAGTGTCACTTTTTTTTTTTTTTTTTTTTTTTCCTGAGACAGTCTTGCTCTGTCACCCAGGCTGGAATACAGTGGCACAATCATAGGTAGCTGCAACCTGGAGCTCCTACGTTCAAGCAATCCTCCTGCCACAGCTTCCCAAACAGCTGTGACTACAGGCCCACACCACCATGCCCAGCTAATTTTTTTTTGTTTGTTTTTAGTAGAGTCGAGGTCTCACTGTGTTACCCAGGCAGGTCTGGAACGCCTAGGTTCAAGTGATCCTCCTGCCTTAGCCTCCTAGAGTGCTGGGATTACATGTGCAAGCCACCACACCCAGCCCAATGTTCCTTTCTTAATAACAAATGTTTTGCAACACTAATCCCAAAGTGAAATTAACAGATAATATGACCTGCCTGGACACAAGGTTTCAAAAAACAAATCAACTGTGGGTCATGTTTCAGTTTACCTAGTCCACTTGGCCTTTGATGCTTAGAGGGCAGTTCCTACCTTTGAAGTGACTTTTTCCTCTGGGTGGGATGGAAGTTTACTACAGAGGCTATCCCTGGTATGGGAGAGCAATTTTCATATGGAGCTGGCAGCATTTGTTGGGTTTCACAAATCCATACACTGGAGGCATGGATGTCATACTGCATCTTCTTTTTTTTTTTTTTTGGTCTTGCTCTATTGCCCAGACTGGAGTGCAATGGCACAATCATGGCTCACTGCAGCTTTGACCATCTGGGCTCAAGCAATCCATCCACCTCAGCCTCTCAAGTAGCTGGAACCACAAGCATGCACCACCACACCTAGCTAATTTTTTTTTTTTTTTATTTTTGTAGAGACAGGGTCATTGAATTCCTGGGCTCAAGTGATCCTCCTGTCTGGGCTTCCCAAAGTGCTGGGATTACAGGCTTGAGCTGCTGTGCCCAACTATTGTACATCTTATAAAGACAGATGGGACTTCCCCATCCCTTGGTGCTGGTGCCACAGCCAGAGTACTGTGACTTTCCTGACCCACATTCCTAATTCCTTTTTTTTTTTTTATACTGAGTCTCGCTCTGTCACCCAGGCTGGAGTGCAGTGTCACGATCTTGGCTCACTGCAGCCTCCGCCTCCCGGGTTCAAGTGATTGTTTTGTCTCAGCCTCCCAAGTAGCTGGGATTACAGGCGCCCGCCACCACGCCTGGCTACTTTTTTTCTGTATTTTTAGTAGAGATGGGGTTTCACCATGTTGGCCAGGTTGGTCTCAAATTCCTGGCCTCAGGTGATCGGCTCAGCTCAGCCTCCCAAAGTGCTGGGATTATAGGCGTGACCCACCGCTCTGGGCCCCTAACTCCTCTTGAAATCGTGTCAGTTTGCTTCTCTTCCCCACAGTGTGATGAGTGACTGTAGGCCTGATCTCCCGGGGTCATGCAAAAAATGCCAACCAGCCTTGGGGTGGGTTACTGGCAGGAGGTTTGAGTGTTGGATGCTTCCCCTTTACCCTTGCCTCTTGCTTCCCCAGTCCTTCAGTTAGACCCTAGTGCTCTCTCTGTTGCCCTGGTAACCAGCTCTGCAAGAAGAAACTCTCACTCAGCAAAGCCCCCAGGTTCTCTCTATCCTCCCATCCTGCCTCTGGGTGGTCAGAAAGAAGAGGGTGTGTAAGCAGCAGACAGATAGCCTTAGGTGGCCCTGCCCGGTCCCCTTGTAGAAGTCCATGGGCTGGGCCCTCAAGGCTTTTTCGCCCCTATCTCATAGTTATTATTCATACCACCCTGCCTTCCTCTTTATTTCTTCCATAAGCGGCTGCAAATGCCCTGCCAACCCTCTTCCCCTTCAGGGTCAGCACATAGGCCTGCAAACTTGTGGGCAACTCGGAGCACCAAAGACTTGGAATTCCAAAGTCAACTTCCAGTATCTGCAGTCCACTTGGGTTGAACTGTCCCTCTAGGGCAGTGATTTTCAATCCTGGCCATTTGTGTCATGTGAGGAGCTTTTTAAATACCATAAGCCTTGGCCCTGGTTCAGAAATCTGATTTAAGTGGTCTGAGATACGGCCTAGGCATCAGTGCTTTTTTTTTTTTTTTTTTTTGGAGACAGTCTTGCTCTTGTTGCCAAAGCTGGAGTGCAGTGGCACGATCTCCGCTCATTGCAGCCTCTGCCTCCCGGGTTCAAGTGATTCTCCTGCCTCAGCCTCCTGAGTAGCTGGGATTACAGGCACCCGCCACCATGCCCAGCAAATTTTTGTATTTTTAGTACAGACAGGGTTTCACTATGTTGGCCAGACTGGTCTCAAACTCCTGACCTCATGATGCACCTTCTCGGCCTCCCAAAGTGCTGGGATTATAGGCGGGAGCCGCTGCGCCTGGCTAGTATTTTTTTTAAAATATGGAGTCTCTCACCCAGACTAGAGTGCAGTAGCATGATAACAGCTCACTGCAACCTTCACCTCCCAGGTTCAAGCGATCCTTCCGCCTCAGCCTCTAGAGTAGCTGGGATTAAAGGTGTGTGCCACCATGCCCGGCTAATTTCTTTTTGTATTTTTAGTAGAGATGGGGTTTCACCATGTTGGTCAGGCTGGTCTTGAACTCATGACCTCAAGTGATCTGCCCGCCTTAGTTTTCCAAAGTGTTGAGATTACAGGCGTGAGCCACCACGCCCAGTTGGCATCAATATTTCTGAGAAGCTTCCCTGTGATTCCAGTGTGTAGTCAGGGTGAAAACCACCGCCACTACAGGAGGACCATGACTTGATGCTGGCTCTCCTCACTGATTCAAAATGTTGAACTTAGTCTCTGCCTGATATCCTTGAGCATTTGGGGGAGTGCTGGGGTCCTGTGTCCCAAGCTTCTAGCTTCCAGAAGTCTTTCAGTCCCTTTTATTTTCAACCCCCCACACCCTTCACACTCCCCAATTCGCCCTTCCTAACCAACAATTCCCAAATCCTGCCCAGAGAGGAGGTTACCAAGGCAACCGGCTTAATCTGGTAACTGTGGCATGTGCTGGGAGAGAAGCCCTTCCCTCTTCCTATTCAGTTCATAAAATGCTACCTGGGGAGCTCCAACCCATTCCAGCCACTTTCCCCTTTCAAGCCCGGGGATATTGGGGTGTCCAATAAGGGGAGCACAGGAAGCTGATACTCAGACCTCTGATACAGCTTCTTAGTCAAAATTGTGCACTGTCGTCTTTTTACTGTTTCCAAATCCACAGATGGGTGTGCAAAGCTTTATTTCTGTGAACACATGCTCTAGCACACATGGGAACAGATATGCACATACATTGATACGTATGTCGTACACACCCTGTTGAGTTTTACTACCACTCCCAGCCATTAGCATTCCTGTCCCTGCCTGGTTGGTGCTTGGTAAACAGGGGTGGGGCATTGTCTAGAGAGCCTCAACCCACCCGGAACCTGCTGCCACTCTCCGCGCCTAGTAAGTCTAACCTGGATGTTCTCACACTTAACATGGCTTTACGCTGCCCTCCCCCCCTTCTGGGGCAGCATATCCTTAAGGACAGAATGCTCCTGGCGTGGGCATCAGGAGTAAGGATTACTTGGAGTGCTAATTTGGCACCACTTTTCCCACTCCATGGCTATGTACACTTGGGCTCTGTGCTTAATGATAGTTGGCAGTTCTGGGGCTTGTCACCTGTCCCCATGGCCCTGCTTCTTTCTGCTGCCAGCTGGGCCCAGGTGCCCTTGTGCTCCTGGTCTCCTCCCCACTGCCTATTATCCCCTCGTCACCCCAGCTAGACCTGCCACAACCTGCTGCTCCCTGCCTGGCTCCTACCTGCCTGCCAGTACCTGCCCACAGACCAGGCCCACACCACCTATGGTGCCCTACCAGAGAGGACAGATGGGCACCGCCTCCAGTGGCAATGCTAATTCACCCGAGGCCTTCCCAGCCCTTCTCACAGAAGGAAGATAAAGTCCACATATTCCTGTGAGTATGGGAAAGGTGCACACTCATGGGTTTAGCAATCTTTAGGCCTGACTTGGGTACACAGGTAGTTGAGTCAAGGTGTCCAGGTCACAGACCTGTCCTGACTTTGAAATGATGCTGAGACCCGGTTATCCCTTGAGCCAAGAATCCTTCCCCATTGGTAAATCTCTGCCTTACCTTTGCCCTTAATTTCTTCTGCTCAGAACCCAAGTCCCTTACTGTTTCCCTCGTGGTCAACCCCAGCGCGCGAGTTCAAGCCTCGTGCGGCGCGGGGGCGGGCCCAGGAAGGGCAGGGGCGGGGACTGGGCGGGGACTGGAGGAGGGGGCGCGGTCTCAGCTCTGCCACCTTCCCCCTCCTCACGGCCAGGAGCGCAGCCGCCGCCGCGTCCTCTCAGCCTTGCGCTCCGCCCGCTGCTTCTGCCGCCGCAGCGCAGAGCCGGGGGCACCGGCCCCGCAGCCTGCCCACTCTTCGGGCCGCGTGCCAGCTGCAGCCGGCATGGGGGGTTGCTGAGAGCGGGCACTCCTTCCTTCTGGCACCTCCCCCGGCTACTGGCCACTGGACTCTGGCCAGCGAGGCTCGGCACCTCTGGCCCCCAGTCCGGCTCCTGGCACGGTCCTCTGCTCCTCCAGCTCTGAGCATCGTGTCCCCGTCCGCCCCCCCGCCCGCGCCTGGGACACCTGGGTCCCCCGGCGGCCCCTAGGAGAGGGGCGGGGGGGGCATGAAGCCACTGGAGAAATTTCTGAAGAAGCAGACGTCGCAGCTGGCGGGCCGAACGGTGGCGGGAGGTCCCGGCGGGGGTCCGGGGAGCTACGGTGGGCCTGGAGGGGGTGGGGGACCCGGCGGGGGGGGCTGTCCAGCCGGGGGACCGCGGTTGTTGCAGCGGCGTCAGAGCGTGTCTCGCCTGCTGCTCCCCGCTTTCCTCCGGGAGCCCCCCGCCGAGCTGGGGCTGGAGCCGCCCCCTGAGGAGGAAGGGGGAGAGCCAGCGGGGGTCGCGGAGGAGCCGGGCAGCGGGGGGCCCTGCTGGCTGCAGCTGGAGGAGGTGCCAGGGCCCGGGCCGCTCGGGGGAGGGGGGCCCCTGCGCTCCCCTTCCTCCTACTCATCTGACGAGCTGTCCCCGGGCGAGCCCTTGACTTCGCCGCCCTGGGCCCCCCTGGGCGCCCCCGAGCGGCCGGAGCATCTTCTGAACTGGGTTCTGGAGCGGCTTGCTGGAGGGGCCACCAGGGACAGCGGCGCCTCAGGTAAGGAGCCAGTGGGCTTGAACACCCGGAGCAGGGGCTGGTCCCGGCTCCTCTTCCTTGCCCTTGGAGCGTGGGGGTGGCGCCGTGCTGAGGCCTGGTTATGGGGTTGAGTGGTCCGCGGAAGCCGGCTAGGGGCCTAGCGGAGGCACAGACCCTCCCGCGGAAGAGGAGGGCAGTACCCACCTTCCTCCCTACAGCAGCCTCACCCCCATCTGGAGAAGCAACTGAGCCTCTTGCCTCTTACTCTCCTTCAGTCACCCTTCCTTTCCCCTGGGCATCGTAGCCACTGACTCCCTTGGGTCCCTGATGTTGAATACCTCCTCCTGTGGCCCCAAATTAGGGCCTGACACATTAAGATGGAAGCTGCCCAGCGCAGCCATGCCCCCCGCCAGAGGTACTTGAGCCCTGAAAACCCTGGGGTCCCTGACTGTTCAGAGGCCTGCACAGCGCAGGCTGGCCCACCCCAGGAGGAAGTGCCAGACAGGCACAGGCCCCAAGCTGCCTTTTAGGCATCAGCAAAGGGATGCGTTGTCCTTAGCAGTTTGGTGGGGGGGATAGTGTTCTTCTTGGGGTAGACTCAGAAGGTGTCTGGAAGGGGAGAGGTAGCTGGGTCGGCATCAGGGCCCTGGAGCATCCAGGGCATCCAAGCGCCTCCAGCTTCCACTCTTCCCTTTTGGTGGCAGGCCTCAGCACACGGCTTTTTTTTTTTTTTTTTTTTGAGACATAGTCTCACTCTCACCCAGACTGGAGTGCTGGAGTGCTGGAGTGCAGTGGTGCGATCTCAGCTCACTGCAACATCCACCGCCCAGGTTCAAGCGATTCTCCTGCCTCAGTCTCCCGAGTAGCTGGAACTACAGGCGCGTGCCACCACGCCTGGCTAATTTTTGTATTTTTAGTAGAGACAGCGTTTCACCGTGTTAGCCAGGATGGTCTCGATCTCCTGACCTCGTGATCTGCCTGCCTTGGCCTCCCAAAGTGCTGGGATTTCAGGCATGAGCCACCAGCCTGGCTAATTTTTGTAGTTTTAGTAGAGACGGGGTTTCACCAAGTTGGCCAAGCTGGTCTTGAACTCCTGACCTCGTGATTCACCCCCGCCCCCCCACCACCTCGGCCTCCCAAAGTGCTGGGATTACAGGCATGAGCCACTGGACCTGGCACACGGCCTCTTTAAAACATAATCACCACACCCTGAGAAGCTTATTCCCTAAATGATGATACTATTTCACCATTCCCTTTCAGCACCCCTACTAATGGCTGGTTAGTGGCTGAGGTAGAAGACCTAGGGGTCTCTAGGTCTAGCTCTAGGCATTGCACTAAGCCCAGGAGGATCTGAGGTTTGGGAACCCTGGCTGAGACCCTAATGCTGAGGGCTTTCACACTTGCTCTCAGCCCTCGGCAGGGAACCCCAACCTAGATGTGTGGAGGGGGGCTCCACTCTCCTAGATCCTTCTCAAGACCTGGGTCCTCTCCTTTGGCGCAGACTGTAGTTGCCCTGGGGAGCTGACACCTTTTGGATTTAATTAGAAAAATATCAGACACACACAGCTCTCCTAACCATAACTTCCCGCCTACACCACACACCCTGTGTCTCTATGACACATTCCCTAGGGAGGCTGTACATTGGCCCAGAGCCTGCCTTGGAAAAGGCAGATGCCCAACTGTGGCCCCCATATCAGCATCTCCTCCACTCTGCTCCATCTTACTCTTCCTTTGCTCCAGCTTAGGAATCCTGTGAGATAAAGTCTATGAAGGATGTCAGGCCTCTCGTTTCCTCACCCCCATCCCTGAAGCTGGGGGTCAGAGCTGGGGGCTGACTCATTGTAAGAACACAGCAGGGTAGCTGGGCAGGGAGGAAACGGGAGAAACTGTCTTTCCCCATTTACAGGGGCCTGGTTCCACATGCTCTGCTCATTCTCCCTTGGGGTAAGACTCCTGAAATGTCACCCATGTTATCTGGCAGCCTTGATTCCCAGAGTAACTGGTTTGGGAAATTCCAAACCAGTCTCAGGGTGAATGAGAATCAGCTTAACCTGCCACTCTGATGTTCTCCAATAAAACCAATGTTCTCAAGTCATCCTGGTCTCCTCCCAGGGTGTGTGGGAGGAGAGAACTTACAGAAGTTACTCTTAACCTACCAAAGCCTCTCCAACGTCCAAGCAGCCCCCTCTGACCACTAGGTTTTACCCTAACACTCTGCTGGCCTCGGGTTCTGGGTTCTTATTCCAGCTCCAGGCAAGTCCCTCCCAGCTCTGGGCCTCAGTTTCACATTTGCGAAATGAAATCGTTGCTAGAACTGACCACAGGGGATAGTGAACCAAAGGCGGTCAGAAGTCTTGGTTTTGTCCTGGGACCGTGCCTGGGGACCTGGCCCTAACCTGTCCTGGTGAGGACACCTGGCTCCCTCCCTGCACCTTGCCTGTCTGTGTGTGCCAGGCGGCCCTGCCCCACCCCAGGGCTGGCTGCAAGTCAGGGCGACCTTGTACCCGGCTGACTGGCTGAGCCAGGCCCGGACGGGGGTGTGGAGGGGAAAGGGGTGGTGAGAGGAGCCGCTCCCCTTCACCATTCCATCATTAACCCTTCTGTCTCTGGGCACCTAAAGGACACAGGATTTCTATTTAAAGGTTCTGGGATCAAAGCAATGGCAGTCTCTTCCAGTCAGGCTGGTTCCCACCTGCCTAGTTAGAACTCAAAGCTGTTAGGTAGGGAATGGGGAGGAGAAGAGGGATACACACGCGCGCGCGCGCGCGCACACACACACACACACACACTCCCCACTGATGCTAACCTCTGTGTTTGGAAATACTCTTTGTCTAGAGAATCTTCTGTGGGCTACTTCTTTTTTCAGGCAGAACTCAAGCTTGGTGTGTTATCTGACCAACTTCCCACATACTCTGAAGAGAAGTGCACATGGCCATCAAAGGCACGCCCCCCCCTTCCCTTCAGCTGCCTTGGCAGCTGCCAAACCCACCCCCGCAGCGGCTGCCCAGAACCTTTACACATGTGTGTGTGCGTGTGTGCAGAGCATGACGGGGCAGGTGGCTGGGGCTCCAGCCTGGCTAAAGAGAACTTGCCCTCAGGGGCAAGAGAAGGAGGCACTGCATTTCCAGTTTCATTCTGGAAGTGCCCTCCTGACATCCGTGGTGCCCACTGATCTTTACAGATATCCTGCTGGATGACATTGTCCTTACCCATTCTCTCTTCCTCCCGACGGAGAAATTTCTGCAGGAGCTACACCAGTAATATCCTTTTGTGGAGTTTGTAAAAGGAGAGGTCAGAAGGGAGCCACTCCCTCCATCCCACATGCAATCTCAGAGCCTAAACTCTCCCCTAGGAAACATACCTGGGGCTGGGTGTGGTGGCTCACGCCTGTAATCCCAGCACTTTGGAAGGCCAAGGTGGGTGGATCACCTGAGGTCAGGAGATCAAGACCAGCCGGGCCAACATGGTGAAACCCCATCTCTATTAAAAATACAAAAAATTAGCCAGGCATGGTGCCACACACCTGTAACCCCAGCTACTTGGGAGGCTGAGGCAGGAGAATCACTCAAACCCAGGAGGCGGAGGTTGCAGTGAGCCGAGATCACGTCACTGCACTCCAGACTGGGCGACAGAGTGAGACTCTGTCTCAGAAAAAAAAAAAAAAGAAAAGAAAAGAAAACATACCTGGGTTTCAGTCCCAGCTTTTCTACTCATCAGCTGTGTGACTTGGACAGATTACCTAACCTTGTGGGGACTCAGTTACCTCTTCTGTAAAATGGAGGTAAATAGCACCTGCCCTGCCTATTTATGAGTTGCTATGAAGATCACTCTGATAGCAGATATGGGAGTGCTTTGGAGGCTGCAGAGCCCTGTACAAATGAAAGGTGTTATTTATTTATTTATTTATTTATTTATTTATTTATTTATTTATTTTGAGATGGAGTCTTGCTCTGTCATCCAAGCTGGAGTACAGTGGTGTGATCTCGGCTCACTGCAACCTCTGCCTCCTGGGTTCAAGTGATTCTCCTGTCTCAGCCTCCCCTGTAGCTGAGGACTACAGGCGCACACCACCACACCTGGCTACTTTTTGTATTTTTTGGTGGAGACAGAGTTTCACCATGTTGCCCAGGATGGTCTCGAACTCCTGACCTCAAGTGGTTTGCCTGCCTTGGCCTCTCAGAGTGCTGGGATTACAGGCGTGAGCCATTGCACCCAGCCATGGTGTTATTTTTCTACTAAGGGCGCCTCTATCCCCACTGAATTATTGCTCTAAAACATCTGGTTGCCCAGTGAGTTATGCTGGGGTCTGATGTAAACATCAGGCCATGGTTGTGCTTCAGTAGGGTCTGCTAGAGAGGAGCCGCTGGATGGGCTATTCATAGGGTCTCATGTAAGCATGGGCCTCTCACAGAGTTATTTTAAGACCTAATTGTAAATGTCAGACCATTGAGTACAATGTTACAGGCTCTTGGCCAGGTGCGGTGGCTCATGCTTTTGGATCCCAGCACTTTGAGAGGCTGAGGTGGGTAGATCACTTGAGGGCAGGAGTTTGAGATCAGCCTGGCCAACAAGGTCAAACTCCGTCTCTACTAAAATACAAAAAACTAGCCGGGCTTGGTGGCGGGCACCTAGTAGTCTCAGCAACTCGGGAGCCTGAGGCAGGAGAAATCGCTTGAACCCAGGAGGCAGAGGTTGCAGTGAGCTGAGATCGTGCCATTGTACTCCAGCCTGGGCAACAGAACCAGACTCCCTCTTAAATAAACAAACAAATAAAGTAACAAGCTGTCTTAGAAACACCAGGCCTTCCAGTGAGGTATAGTCAGGTTTGTGGTAAACACCATTGGCCTTTATTAGGTGCACTGTGAGCTCCAGGCCCTGGGCTGGCCAGAGGTTGGAAGGGTCTGGGCAGGTTATCCTCAAGTGAAAATCTAACCTGTCTAACCTGCAGGAGCTGGATGTGGTCAAGTGGTCATCACTATCTACCCTAAGCAAAAGCCTAGGCTGGGGCATTAGGAGGTCTTGGCTCCAGGACCCCTGAAACTCCTTTCTTTCTGGCCCCAAATCTAGAGAATATTTGGGGGCAATTTAGCCTCCCACCTTTCTTTCTTTCTTTTGAGATGGAGTTTTGCTCTTATTGCCCAGGCTGGAGTGCAATGGCGTGACCTTGGCTCACTGCAACCTCCGCCTTCTGGGTTCAAGAGATTCTCCTGCCTCAGCCTTCCAAGTAGCTGGGATTACAGGTTCCTGCCACCATGCCCGGCTAATTTTTGTATTTTTAGTAGAGACAAGGTTTCACCATGTTGACCAGGATGGTCTCAAACTCCTGACCTTAAGTGATCCACCTGCCTCAGCCTTGCAAAGTGCTGGGATTGCAGGTGTGAGCCACCGCACCTGGGCTTTTTTCCTTTTTTTTTTTTTTTTTTTTTGACACAGAGTCTCCCTCTGTCACCCAGGCTGGAGTGCAATGGCCCTATCTCGACTCACTGCAACCTCTGCCTCCCGGGTTCAAGCGATTCTTGTGCCTCAGCCTCCGGAGTAGCTGGGATTACAGGCACCCACCACTATGCCCGGCGAATTTTTGTATTTTTAGTAGAGTCATGGTTTCACCATGTTGGCCAGACCAGTCTCGAACTCCTGACCTCAGGTGATCTGCCTGCCTCGGCCTCCCAAACTGCTGGGATTATAGGCGTGAGCCACTGCACCCAGCCTAGCCTCCCATCTTGCTTCTCAGTTCCTCAGGTCTGCTTGCCTAGGGATTTTTCTTAACTTAAGGGTCAGCTTTCTTCGGGCAGGAGGCATGGAGGGCCCTGAGGGGCTGGGCCGGAAGCAGGCCTGTCTAGCCATGCTTCTCCATTTCTTGGACACCTACCAGGGGCTGCTTCAAGAGGAAGAGGGGGCCGGCCACATCATCAAGGTGGGCCTGGGGGAAGAGAAGGTGGGTAAACAGGCTATTAGCTCTGGAAGGGGGCCCCTGTGAAGGAGCCGTACTTCTTATGCTGGGTTCCTGGAAGGAAGAGATGCCGGGGGCTTTAGCTTATATGGCTCTCCTGTGCTCAAAGGCATGGAGACCTTGCCCGGCCCCTGCAGAGAGTAGCCCTTGGGATGAGACCCCTTCCTTCACCTTCTTTGTCCTCCTCTCTCCAGGATCTATACCTGCTAATTATGAAGGACGAGTCCCTTTACCAGGGCCTCCGAGAGGACACTCTGAGGCTGCACCAGCTGGTGGAGACGGTGGAACTAAAGTGAGGGGGAGTGGGGCAGGGGTGGGAACAGGAAAGAGGTTCCCTGCGTTCCTCTACTACAGGGGCTGCCTCTGGCCTATTGGCTCCAATATGGATTTGCTTGTTTGTTTGTTTTGAGACAAAGTCTTACTCTGTTGCCCAGACTGAAGAGCAGTGGCGCAATCTAGGCTCACTGCAACCTCCACCTCCTGGGTTCCAGTGATTCTCATGCCTCAGCCTCCTGAGTAGCTGGGATTACAGGGGTGCACCCTGCTTGGCTAATTTTTGTACTTTTTGTAGAGATGAGTTTCATCATGTTGGCCAGGCTGGTCTCGAACTCCTGGCCTCAAGTGATCTGCCCGCCTCAGCCTCCGAAAGTGCTGGAAATACAGGTGTGAGCCACTGTGCCCCGCTTCCAATATGGTTTTATTTCAACTCTTTTCTCTCACAGGAGGGTGGCACAAAGCACTGTCTCCAGTCACTTTTTTGTCCATTCTCCCATTCATTTGTCTGATAATCCAGTGGTGTAATGGTAAATATTTAACAACCAGTGCTGCAGGAGAAAGAACCCTGATTTGTAGCTTTTGCTGGTTCCTACAGTGTAAACTCTGTCACCATGGCTGATTTCAAGCTACCAACGTGACAGCACTGAAGGAGGAGCTGGGAAGAGACGTGCAGCACAGGCCATTATGTAGTATCTCCACCATATAGTAGATGCAGTAAAAGGTAGTGAAACGGCTGGGCAAGGTGGCTCACGCACTTTGGGAGGCCAGCGGCGCAGATCTCATGAGGTCAGGAGTTTGAGACCAGCCTGACCAACATGTTGAAACCCTGTCTCTACTAAAAATAGAAAAATTAGCCGGGCACCGTGGCATGTGCCTGTAGTCCCAGCTACTCGGGAGGCTGAGGCAGGAGAATGTCTTGAACCCGGGAGGCAGAGGTTGCAGTGAGCTGAGATTGCGTCACTGCACTCCAACCTGGGTGACAGAGTGGACTCCGTCTCAAGAAGAAAAAAAAAAAAAAAAGGTGGGCCGGGTGTGGTGGTTCACCCCTGTAATCCCCGCATCCCAGCACTTTGGGAGGCCGAGGTGAGCAGATTACGAAGTCAAGAGATCAAGACCATTATGGCCAACATGGTGAAACCCCGTCTCTACTAAAAATACAAAAATTAGCTGGGTATGGTGGCATGCGCCTGTAGTCCCAGCTACTCGGGAGGCTGAGGCAGGAGAATCGCTTGAACCCAGGAGGGAGCCGAGATCGTGGCACTGCACGCCAGCCTGATGACAGAGCGAGACTCCATCTCAAAAAAAAAAAAAAATTGAAACAGGAAGGAAACTACTTTTTTTATAATAACTTATTTGATTACAAATTTTATGTAAGATTTTGGAGGCCGGTCTCGCCTGGCACGCCCACGGTGGAGTGCCGTGGCCGGATTCAAGGCTCACTCGCAGCTCCCGCCTTCTGGGTTCACGCCATTCTCCGCCTCAGCTCCGGAGGCCGGACTACAGCGCCCGCCACCTCGCCACGGCTAGTTTTTTGGTTTTGTTAGTAGAGAACGGGTTTTCACCGTTGTTAGCAGGATGGTCCCTCGATTCTCCTGACCTCGTGATCGCCCGTCCTCGCTTCTCCAAAGTGCTGGGATTTACAGGCTTGAGCACCCCGCGCCCCGGCTATTATTCTTTCAATAGAGACAGGGTTTCATTATCGTTGCCAC